TCAAAATGTCTGGGCCCAATGACATCCCAAGGATGTCCCTTTCTTGAAGAAATAGCACATCCCAGATATGTCCCAGGGATATCCCCTTGGGGCAGGTCCTAGACAATACTTGTGGGGACGTCTCAGGGATATCACAATGTCAGAAGGTAAAGACATCCCAAGGATGTCTCTTTCTTGTAGCACAAGTATATCCGAAAGTTGTCCCAGAGATATCCCATTGGGACAAGTGAGAAGTCCCAGGTAGTACTTGTCCCTTCCTATCCGCAATGGACACATTTCCTATCGCACAGGAGAACCCTTTGCTTTCGAAAAATGTCAATATTTTATCTAGGAACACCTAATCTAAATTTCTTGATCGATCGAAGAGTGACGATTAAGGGGGAGGAAAATACCGTTCCTAAAGGGGACCCCAACATAGGAGACACATCTCCAAGGGACGACAATTAGCACTTTTACACAATAGACCATGGATGGTATGATGTAGTTTTATGCCTTCCAAACAGTATGGGCTCAGGCCTCCAACCAATATAGTTGTATCCAGACACGCCGATCAGACATCATTAATGAGAATATAAAGGGATAAATTAAAATTCGGACAGCAATGTTTTCACTTTCCCTGGTGGCAGTTTTCCTTATGTATGGTACGAAAATCCTTACTTTTCCTCAGGACAAATCAAGTAGATGAATTCGGTAGAAAAGATCTGAGGTTGCAGATCAGGGCTCATGGGAGACATCTACCGTCGAAACTATGCACCTGACTGAAGGCGACAGAGGGCACTGAAGATGCCTAAAGACATCCCTAAGATGTGCCTAAGACATCCTCCTCAAGATATCGAAAAGCGTTCGACTGAAGATATCTTCAAGATATCCCCTCCAGGATATCCAGAAGCATTCGACTAAGGATGTCTTAAAGATATCCCGAAAGGGATATCTCTAAGATATCGACTGAAGATGTCTAAAAGACGTCCCGAAGACATCCCTTGCGAGATGTCCGAAACCGTCCGAAAGGAGATGTCTTCAGGATATCCTATAAAGACATGGGGACAAGTCGTCCAGTTAGGGACATCCCTGGGATATCCCTGTGCTGTGTGGG